TTTGTATACATAGATGCATTTTCGTTTCCATCTCATTATTTGGAGTGTACCGTTCATTTGTCACCTGCATGGGTTTTTTTTTCTAATACAGACTCATGCAACTACGGTTCCAGCGCGTATTGTGTTGGTTGGCCCGCCTGGATCCGGTAAAGGCTCTTACGCCAAAGAATTGGTGCCTTATCTTGGCGTCAAGCATCTAAGTCCTGGAGATCTTCTGCGGGCAGAGGTACTGTAAGTATCTCTTTTTGCTGTTATGGTCGTAGCAGAGCTTCTTCATAGGCATTAGCGGTGTCATAGTATGTTTCTCTATGCTTCCTCTGTAGTCTGTGTATTTGTTCACGGTTGCTTGCGTGTGTTGTTCCGCTTGATATCAATCCAGTGTCACCCATGAGCATCGCACATAACAATTTCGATTTATTCACGAGTGGAACTGTACATCTGTCTATCGTATATCAGATTGCTTCTGGTACACCCCTGGGCAATGAAGTGAAAGATTTGGTATCTTCCGGGCGGTTGGTGAGCGATGAGGTGGTCGCTAAGGTTGTGAATCATGCACTCGAAAGGTATGATGTGATTGAATGCAGGCGTGTAGTATTTACATATTGTCTTGTACAAATTTCCGAGGTGGGGTGCATAGTATATGATGCCAATTATGCCTTGTTTGATGACGCTTTGGCGCGACTAAAATTAGTTTTCTATTTCAATCCTTACTTTTCGGCTATGACAGTTGCGGCAACGGCTTTATACTCGATGGGTACCCCCGTAATGTAGAGCAGGCGAAATTATTGAGCAAAGTGATTGGCATCGACATGGTATGCTTCATTGTTTTTATTATTCAGTGCCGGTGTGATTAAGAAGCTGCAAATCACATTGTCGTGTGTGGATAAATTCTATATTTCGCACATCTACATACGCGTCCTTTTAATTCTGCAAATTTCGTTGATGTAGATGTTGTTGTGTCCGCTATGTTGCAAATTTCATATTGATGCTACTACACTGGACTCGCCAGGTGTTGCGCGTAAAGATGCGTCCCGATGCGTTGAGAGCAAAGCTCGAGGGTCGCCGGGTGTGCAGAAAATGTGGAACCAGTTTCAATCTAGCGAATGTGAAGCTGGACCACCCTACAGGGCATTCTTATGACTCAGAGTTTTTCCATATGCCCGCGATGTTGCCACACAATTCGGATTGTACCGGTATGTGCAACATTGTGTACATCAGTTGGTTATGTACTTCGAGAATTTTCGATACGCCTTTGTTGATCCACTGCTTTGATGGTTGACATTCTCGAATTAACTGACGATTCAAAATTAAAGGAATTTTGACCGGGAGCCTACTTTATGTTGAATACGCATAGTTTTCTTTGCCGTTTTTAACCCTTTACTAATACGCATTTTTTTCAGATCAAACTGATGCACATGACCTCGAGCATCGAGCTGACGACCAAAGCGATGTAATTGATAGGAGATTAGAAGTTTATAAGACAGAAACGTATCCTGTCATTGAATACTACAGGGAGGGGGGATGTAATATTGTGGATGTTGATATAGAAGGCGGTAGAAGTGTCATGTTACCTATTATTTTACGGAAAGTTGGCGTAGGCGCATCACATAAATAATGATATAACATACGTTTAATAGCAGATTGTCACATTAATCTCCACTGTCGGTTCTCAGAGGCTATTATGCCTCTACTCTTGATTGATTTGGTTAATTTTATCTGGTGCAATTATCACCGGTATGGCCCTGAGATGTTCACTGTTCTAGAGCTTTCACACCTAGGGAGTTTGTCGTGATTTATAAGTTTTCATATTGAGCTGACATTGTATGTATTCTTTATTTTCTTTTTTGAACGTCTTTAAGCTTAGTCTATGTGCTAGAATTAAAGATATATCTTCACAATTTCGCTTTTCATTATTTGTTGGCCGAGTTATTCATTCTGGTTGTCCAACTTCTATTTTTCATTTCGCATAATATATACAATGTCGCGTCTGTAAGCATTTCATACACTGCCACTATCGAGCGGTTTCCTTATTTTAGTGCGATCTTTTTACACTCTGTGTACATCTATTGGGTGGCTGATATTCATTTGGCGTCGCTCCCATTCTTCGCGAACCTTCTTACGTTCTTTTGAAGCAACTCCGGTCATGTTGTTGAGCACGGACTTGAAGTTGCCGAAGCTCTTGATCTTCCACGAAGGTACCTTCTTGACGCTTCGTACTGGTAATGCTCTACATGTCTCATTATTGATACCTAATAACTTATCCGCTTTGTCACTCCCTGAGCCAAGGCCTAAACAAACACGTTCGGCGGCATTAGGATCCATTAGAATAATACCTTTATCATCCTTGAGAGGCACATGTTCCGGGGAAGCTGCCAAGTCCAAAGAAAATTTTCGCATACCACTCTGTGACGATAAAGACCTGTGGAAGTTGCCAGCGCTAGTTGAAAGCATCATTGCCGGGGCTGACGGACGTCTCTCAGCAGCTTGGTAGGACGGTATGCCGGGATGTAAAGCCGCCGTTTGGGTTGGAAACGTTGAGCTCACCGCAACACGTTTTAATGACCTGGGTACTGGTCTCTTGAATATAGTAGGAGGAGTGCTTTCTTTCGCCGGCTGGATATCCAAGAGCATTGGACTGAGTTTTACATGCTGAAAATCCAAGGGTACTGGACTTGCTAAACTGTGAGATATTGAAACTGCGCGTTTCCTGAAGCGAGATGATTCAGACCCCGATCGGCGGTATTGGGCCGATGAGCTTTTCTGCAGACCTGCCGATTTGGACTTTTGCAGATGCCTTGATATCGTTGTCGTTGGACCCGAGTATGCTGGTGCCCTTTTTGATAGCAATGAAAACTGTGAAGTCAATGGCTCTCGATGCTCAGCCGCAGCCGCCTCATCTACTTGCCCAATAAAATCATAAACTGTTGTTGTTTTGCTTGAGAAGGAGTCAGATAACGATGTCGTTGAGGATGTCGTCGGATACCTGCTAAAATCACTTGTACTGATCGGTGGTAGACTGACAAAGATCGGCAGCGGAGTTGGGTGGGTAGGTCTTTTCATGGAGTTGAATGAGTTGGTGAAGTGAAAGGCGCTCTCTGAACCCACTGCGTCCTCCACGTCATCATTTGAGAAAGAATGGTGCAAAAAAAAAATTTGTGATCGGCTCTCAGCTTTTCTACTTATATGTGAAGATTGCGGTACTTGCAAAGTGGAGGTTTTTGTCTTCGTATGAAATGCAGTTGGGATATTTGCTTCACTATAAGATACATTGTCACGAGTTCTTCTAGTATTGTGTGCGGTCAGCTGAGCTTCTCCACATGGCTGTATTAATGGTGATAAAAAGCAATCGTCCAAACTGGAACCTTTTGACAATGGTATGCAATCAAGAGAGTCTTGAAGGCTTCTAAGCTGCGTCTCGATCTTGTCGATCTTGCTTTGTACGTTGGCATTTGCTTTGCAAACAGGATCACTAGAGAAAAAGGCCAGTATCTCCTCTTTGTCTGCGCACGAATGAAACAAACGACATAGGATTAGCTTCCGGAAATGATTTTGCAAATGGCACCGTTTGTTTGATCAGCCGCTGAACACGCCTTTGTTATTCATTTTGAAAATATTACAATGTTCCTACCTGGCATCCGTTCCCAATTGTCTCCGAGCTCGACACATTCGGATTGTTTCGAAAGAGCCATATTAGTAGGACATAAAAGTAAGTTCCTGATCAATTAATGGCGTGCGAACATTAGGGCATTGCTATTAAGTAGGCACACGAATTTTATTTCCTGCACAAGAAACAAACATACGACATTTGTTTTGAAGTATTTTTGAATGTGATTCCCAGCGCGCTGGGTATATGTGTTTAAATAAAAATAGATTAATGAACATAACCTTCATCACTCATCATACATAAATAATATTTACGTGAGAGTTTTCAGTTTTGGGGTTCTTCGACAAAAGAATATAATAATACTAGTGGCTCTCTCGTTGACGCCTCCATATTTGTTCACCCCAACAAAGAGCTGCTGCAGATCTGGAGTGGAGAAAAGTGAGACTGGACTCACTGGAGACGCACAAACGTTTCTTTATTTCTTTATTTTTTCTCAAATATTACTTTATAAGAATTATTTTATTATTTACATAATATTTACTATGTCTTCGCCTCTTCAGTCTTCGACTCTTCGGCCTTCACATCTTCCCACACGCGGTCACCACTCCCCAGCAGTGTCCCCACTCACCACTCCCGGACTCCACCACTTCACATTCACTAAAATGGCAAAATCGAGCGCTAAATAAATAAAATAAAATACCGCTGACGTCGGTGGGGAACTAAAAGCTTTGAAAAGGGGGCGAAATGTTAATTTTCATTTTTGGGTTTTCGTACCCTTATTTGTTTGCGAAAGCGCGCCCCACGGTTAAACTGCAACTTCAATTCTGGTTCACGTTTGGGTCCAGATTTCCAATTTCTTTTTGGTTGTTGTTGGGGGCGGGGGGGTTCGACTGTTCGTTTTCTTTTACGTTAATTTTTAATTTTGGGTTTTCGTACCCTTGTTTCTTTTGGGAAAATCGCGCCCCATGGTTTTAAAAGTGCAACTTCAATTTTGGTTCACGATTCGGTCCAGTTTCAAAAAAAAATTGTTCGTGTTGTTTGGGGGGAGGGGGGTTTGTGGGGTGGAAGCCCCCAATAACCACATCTCTTCTACTACTGGTATCACATCGTGTTTCTTGCATTGGGCCTTTCTATAATCATGATGTACAGGGTCTCAAACGGGCATAAAAACTTCACTTTATTCCTTATTTGGAATAAATAAACTTCTGAGGGACCTAATAGCTAAAGTTTTTAGTGATAAAAAAAAAATAGAAAACAATCCTTGTAAATGTACTATGAAAAAAAAACAATGTCTGTTTTTGAAAAACAATTTGTTGTTTTTTGTTTCAAAACAAAACAACAATATATACAAATGTACTGTTTCTATTTAACTAAATATTTACTATTTTTAAATAAATATTGTTATATATATATACTTTAATTTTTTTAAACAGTGCTATTTAGGCGTACAGTCAAACGTTCTTTTTTGTCTACCTCTTTTATTGTTTACCTCTTCTTTGTCCGCTTTTTTATTGCGGGACGAAAATTATTTACATTGTTATGCACAGCGGTAAGAACCAGGTCGTTCATCCTGATTTTCACCCTTAAAAATTTCCAAAACTACATAGCCGTTCATTTTTTTCCAAAATGAATGGGTGCTTTTGGCAGATCATGATAACATAAATAATTCCAAAACCGATGAGTTTCCAAAAACGACACTCTGGACATGTGGTGGTCCTATGTCTATATTAGGTAAAACGGACTTTTGCCCTGCCCAAATGTTTAAACTATATAGAGGTAAAATGGACTTTTTCGGCTTAGCAAACACAGGATAAAAATTTCTAACTTATAAAATTTTGACTTAAGACATTGGGATCGAAAGGCCTTGAGGAATGGAGGTCAAAACCATAGCCTCCTAAATTAGAACACCAAATAGTTCTAATTTAGGAGGCTATGTCAAAACCGTCAAGTTTTTTAAGTGTTCACCGTTGGGATCGCGTGTTATAGCCAATACATCGCTCCAAGAGACCCGGATTGTGAACGACATCTTGGCTGAACAAATAAAAAATTCTAAGGTTTGCACCAAAACTGGAACCGAATATTATTGATCCAAAGATTGCGCAGAGCCCAAAACTGCTCTCAAAATCGATTTTGGGTGATTAAAAAAATTGTTGTGACCCCCAGGTCTCCAAGCCCCCAACCCTGCTGGCCAGAATATTGTCTACCTTCGTTTTTGTCCAAACTATGGCCTGAAACGGACCTTGGACAAAAAAGAGGTTTGACTGCATGTATTTTTATAAAATTATTTTGTTTTACTCCGCCAAGAGTTGGGCGCCCAGACTTAAAATTGAGTAGAGTGCCGGACCTGATAAGTTGTTAGACTGTCAACTACGAGAGCTTAGAATAAGTGCTTTATTGTGGTGCCTGCTCAAATATCTCAAAATTTAGTTTATATATTTATTTTTCAAAACTTATACAGCATCAGTAGCACAGTGGCAAGGATGTGTGACAATCTAAAATAATGCCTTTTTTGGGCACTGATTTAATTCTCCCTGTAGACAAATCTCTTTAAAAAATGCTTCTAATATTTTTGCTGTACATACTGACTCTCTGTTGTATTTATAGACTACAATTTGTTTTTTAGAAAAATAACTGGAGTCTGATGGCTATGCCTGACCTGTGAGTCTGTGACTCTGTGTCACTGTGAGGCTGCGACTTAGTGTGAGTCTGTAAATAGTGGACTTGTGGACTGTGGAATTGTGGACTGTGGAGTGTAGAGTTGTATAGGGTGTGGACTGTGGAGTGTGGATTAAGTGTCAGTCTGTCAGTCTGTCAGCCTGTCAGTCTGTTAGACTGTCAGTGTACATTTGTACTCTTTGTTCTGTAGTGTGTGGACTGTGGACTGCGAACTGCAACTGTGGACTGTGGACTGTGGACTGTGGACACTGGACTGTTGACTCCAAAACTGTCAACTATGTACTGTGGACTGTAGAGAGTATAGATTAGAGACGTAGATCATAGATGTGTCACTGTGGAGTGGGACTCTGGTTCCTGGACTCTGGATTCTGGAACCTGGACTTAATGCCCCAGCCCGGCCCAGCCAGTCAGCCACTCATAAGCTCAATACATTGCGATAAAAAAACGATAGGACCTTTTTGGGGTCAATCATGTATGATGTAGCTCAATTTATCCGTCACTGTCTGTTTGGCGACTATGTCTGGTGCCAAACTCTTATTTTTTAAGGACATATTGGGATCATGATATTTATGACCTCATCAAATCACCTAGTCATTTGTGAGATGAGCTCGGCTCACCCCCTGCGGGGAGTCATATTTATTAACACGTTATCATAGCTGTAGAAATGCGGCCTCCGGTCAGTTTAAAATACCAAGATCAAATGAGAAAACATATTGGTTTTTATTTGTATTTAGAATACTTTTCCAATATTTCCAAAGTGTTCTAAATTCACTTTGATGGCTCCAATAGCCTGAGTATTTGGTATGTCTCATTTACTTGGACCTATTTGAGACGATAGTAGATGTAGGATATTATAAATTAAATTTTATAATCTCTGAACTACTACTTACAGGTTTTGGTCTTCCCGCCAATCTCTAAAATCCAATATGTCTTTTTATTTTTTAACTTTTCTTCAGATGGAACTTTATTTATATTAGCTAATGTATTAACTTGACTAACGTTCTTATGTCTATCTACAAATTAGATATGTGGTAATGAACACTTAGTACTTCTAGTGAGAATTTTTCAATAAAGAACTGCTAGAGGTACGTCCTGTGTGATCGAGGATATTAAGGCTCTTACCAAGAGGCAGTCCCAATCATTCTTGCACAAGCTACCACTGCTAAATCTTAACTGACTTAAATTAT